CCTGATGCTGCGCTGGATGATGTATTAGAAAAGGGTCAGGAATTTTGTGAGAAGACTTGGGATATCGCAAAGACTAGTGTTGCACCTCAGCCTTTCATAGAACAGTATTGCTTCAGGGCACCATATGTTGTCTTTTTGTTGAGAGAAGGCTTGCACATTACTGATAGTCAGGTAACCATTGGTTCCGGAAGTATTACTTGGACGCTAGGTGTTGCACTGTTGGAAGCTGGAAAGGCAGTTTCAACTGGGGTGGAATTTATTAGTTACAAGCTATTGCTCATGAAGATGCACCCAATTATTCTTTTTGCTATTTTGTTTGCTTCATTAGCTGTTCTTCTTTGTGCATTATCTTGTGTTGGGAAGTGGATGCCCAGGTTCTTCCGTAGGCAATATCTTCCCCTTTTTGGGAATAATAGTGCTTCATCCACATCTATAATCAACATTCCAGCTCCTTTCAGTTTCAGGCGGTGGAGTCCTGTTATTACAGGTAATTTCTTCTGAAAATCATGTGTACCGTGCTATTCTAGTTTAGAATATGTCCATCGCTGTCCTTGTTAGGGAAATCAAAACAAAAATATCATCGCTTTTATGGGTAGGAAGCTCTTTTGAAATCAAGTTCACCTCTGTGCCCCATTTATCTGTTTATTGGAAGCTTTTTATACTAGCTTGAATTATACATCTCTGACAGTACTAATTTCAAAGTCTAATTTGGAACAAAATATGATAATTTCACTGATTATAAAAAAATGATGGCTTCAGAAATGAAGTCACACTAAATATACACAACAATTGCCTTTATACCAGTTGTTAATGCTAATTGTCATATTAAGGCTTCAGCAAAGTGGAGTTGAATGGAGTTTTTTATGCCTCCAGCGTAGACAGTTTCCTCTAACTTATGATCTTTTCTTGTTGTCATAGACCGTCATCTTCTAAAGGAGCAATTCTGTTTAAACTATTAGTACTGGCTCAGGAAGATTACCTTTTGGTAAGAATAATCAATAATTGTTGTGGATTAGAGTGAGAAGGTAACACCAGTTTTTGAGTCATATAGATAACAAACATACTTATGACACCGTCTTGATATTTAAGGAGCAATGAATTTGACCTATTTCCACGGTTCCTATATTGAGATCTCTGTGCCTTACTAATTATGAGTTGAAAAATCGACTTAACACTTTATAGTTCGCTTTTATATTGCTGTTACTATTAGCACTATTTCTCAGATATCCTTTCTTAGATCACGCCAATTTGTCTTTCAGGTGAAGGAAGAGTGAAAATGCCACTCAGTCCAACAGTCGCTAATACACAACAGAGACCATTTGACACTGGGCATGGTTTCGGTGGCAATGGTATCCAGCTCACTGAATCTTCTTTATATTCATCATCTAGCAGTGTCGCACATAGTTTTTCATCAGGGAGCTTGGGTCAGATGCAATTTGAAAGTAGTAGCACGGGTTCCTTCTGGTCCCCACACAGAAGCCAACAACGTCTCCAGAGCAGGAGATCCCAATCACGAGAAGATCTTATTTCTTCACTGGCTGAAGTGCCCTTGCCTCCAAAGGTTTAAATCTGATGGTAATATTGCTCTTTGAAGAGAAAATCATGAGGCTGATGATTGCTAATGGCTCATTAGCCAAATTGCTAATTACCATCAGCTATGAATCTCATGATATACGCCTGTCCTGCGTTCTCCTTTAGAGGCACCATAATGAGGCTACTACTTATTCATCTGACATTACATAGAATAGAGTCATGACACGGACATTATCAGCCAAGAGAAGTCTGTCCTCACTAAGCCAGGCGACTGTGCAGAACAACAGAGAACTTGTTACTATGAGGAGCTTGGCAAAGATTTGCATCCTGTGAATACTGGGGATACTAATGAACTCCGACTATTACTCCAACTTGATAGTCCAAAATTTCACATGATTTGAATGGAGGAGATTCTCTAAATATAGTCCTTGATGTGAATGAGGTAGCCGGCTTGTAAATGGTCAAATTGCAGGTTAGGTTAACTCGAGATTTTGGCAACTCATTCTCTACTCATATTTCACACAGTATACATGTTTCTTAATTCTTTGTACTACCACTATTCTAATGCTATTTAGAGAATTCAACATTTTCACAAGCATTATTCTGATATTAATAGAATACATAGCTAAGAGCATTGAGAAAGTCACTGTGCTGTCTTTAGAAAGGGTAGTCTGAGGGAATCAGCATGAAGATGTAAATGGTTTGTCCTGCACCAAACAACAACAATAACAACCCAGTAAAATCCTACAAGTGAGGTATGGGGAAGGTAGTGTGTACACCTTACCCCTACTCCGAGGGAGTAGAAAGGCTGTTTCCAATAGACCCTCGGCTCAGGAAGACGGGTTGTCCTTAACCAAAGTGGAGAATTTGTTTGCAGGTTATTGTCATCCACCCTACTTGACACTGTCAGATGTCTTGTAGCAGCTGCTCTCATTTTATAAAGCTTTATGATAAAAAATTGTGCAGAGGTACTCCTAATGCATCACATGTCACTTGTTACGCGCCTTCTAAAATTTCTTGCTTCACAAAAGGAATGCTGCAGGGAAAGAATTCTTCTCAAATTTTGGCTCAGCCACCTTCTGCAGATCCTTTGAATCCTCAACAGCCTCAGTTCTTCCCGGGGCCTAAAAAAAGGCTAAGAGCATAAGAAAATCCTCCTTTACCTTTCACCGGAAACACTATACCACCATCGACACAAGGTCAACTAGGTTATGTACCTAACGACACGTATCATTAGGGGTATTCATGGTTCGGTTTGGATCGGTTTTTCCCTAAAAAGAAACCAAACCAAGTAATTCAGTTTTTCAAATATTAGAACCAAACCAAACCAATTAAGTCGGTTTTTTCTCGATTCGGTTTATATCGGTTTTTCGGTTTTTTCGGTTATTTGTCGGTTTTTTCTTAAATATAAGATATACACTACCAAACACACATTTCGGCGACCACATTTTCAACGTAACACTATCAAATCAATTGTCCTTTGAAAAATCTATTATTTACCAATATATATTGATGATAATTGAATCAAATAATGATGAATAATTTAAGGACTCAATTAAAAATATATTATTTTTAACATGAAATAGATTCTTACACTTAACAAAAGAAAACTACCAATTAACCTAGAATGTAAAGGTAAAGAACTGTACTAAAAATGCAAACGATTAATATTTACTGTAAAAATTTTAAAACTTTGTATAAAAGTATACATATATATATGTGTAATAATAAATTTAAAATAGCTACTCCTATATTCGGTTTGGTTCGGTTTTTTTTAATTAAAATCAAAACCAAACCAAATTTGATCGGTTTTTAAATTTCAATACCAAAACCAAACTAAACCAAAAAGTATCGGTTTTTTTTAGTTGGTTTGATTTGATTTTCGATTTGGTTCGGATTTTCGGATTTTTATGAACACCCTTAAGTATCATATATCCATTTGTGTTACATTTGAACCAACCCACATAGGCAATGACCAGCTCACCTGCTTGCATATAATATCAGGCATGTAACCTTGAAAAAACTATACAATCTCCACCTAAACAAGAGCAGAATTAGACAGAATTAAAACATACAAAGCCGTTTTGCCTTTTTTTTTTTTTTTTTTAAAAAACATTA